AAAGAGAGGTCTGGTTGATGAGCTGATTCTAGAGGCATTTTTACTAATTTAAGTTTCCACTATGCATTAGTTCTCCTACTACCCTCATGCCCTATTGGATGAAAGGCATTGGTGTTCTGAGCAGGGCTGTTCAATGAACACAATGATAGAGGAAGGGGCACTAGGTACTAACACCAAGTTCACGTTCACACACATGGAAATCTACTCACTATCATTAGAGAGGAAGAGAACAATGTGCTATTGAAGTGACATGCTCCTGTTTTCACTTTAAGTTTGTGCTTGTCATCATGTTTTCAAAAGGTTTCTTAGAAATATATACAGCTGAGGCTGATGTATATACTTCATGTATTTTTTCCATCTGGGCTTTTAATTGGTGAGCTCAGACCATTCAGATTGAGAGTGATTATTGATAGATGAGGCTGTTTGCTGTCATTCAACCTTTTGTATTTTTCATTAATGGCTTTCTTCATCTTTCTGTTATTTCTTTTTCTGTTTGTTCCTTTCTGCTTTTTCATTTGGATCTCCATCCCTGGTGGGTCTCTCATTTTCTTAATTTCTTCCTCTGTGTCTATTTTAGATTTTTGCTTCTGGTTACCATGAGGGTTATAGCAAACTTTCTATGTCTAAAAATACCCTTTATGAGTTTGTATTAACTCATCATTTAACTAGACAGGTTTTCATCCCCTCCCTTTCAGTGTTTTGTTGTTTCTTATTATTCTCATTGGTGCTTTGATTCTGTATTCCTATTGTCTCTTGACTCAAGATTTTGGACTTTGTTTTTTCTTTCCTTATAGAAGAACTTCTTTCAACATGTCTTCAGGGCAGATCTGGTTGTAATAAACTCCACTAGACTTTGTTTGTCTGGGAAAGCCATTATTTTACATTTATTTCTGAATGATAATTTTGCAGGATAGAACATACTTGACTGGAACTTTTTATCTTTTAGGATGAGTAATTGACTTCACTCTCTGGCCTTGAGCAACTGCTGAGAAATCTAATGAGCGCCTGATAACGGTCCTTTTTAAGTTACCTTCTTTTTTGCTCCAGCAGCCTTTAGCAACAAATGATAAGATTTAAAAGCCTCCAAAAGGGTACATGTATCACAAGATCTAGGAACAGACTCGTGGTATTGTTTTATTAACTAGCTGACCAACACATCTCTAACATTTGCACACAGATGAGCTTTTGCTGTCATACATTTTGGCTGTTCTGCTCCAGCCTTGTCTGCATCCTTCCAGGTTGAGCTCTGCACTTTTCTTTTCTCTGAGTAGACCCTCACGTCCTGTTGGACAATAGCACAAGGCCATTAAGTCCTGTCTCTGCTGCTTCGTGGCAGTTGGGCCTTGGCCTTCCACCTCTGTGCTTGGGTGAACACACCTCTGGATGCAGTCAGTGGTAACAGTAACCAGCACAAGTGTTGTGGTCTGTGTGAACAATGTATAAAGCAGATTGTGGCCGAGCACACAAGCCTGGTCTTACAGAAGGCTCAGAAGACAGTCGGTTGATCACTTTGATGTTAGATCTTTGACAGAGGTGGCATTTTCTTTTTCAGGTCACAGCTCTGGGTGCTTTGTAAGCTACCTGGGTGTATGTAGAATATGAGTGGGTAAGGATTTTTGTTGTTAGAATCAATCCTATTGGCTGCTCTTTTATTAAATTCCTTCAACAAGTCCACTACTGTTTCAGGCAAAGCCAGATTGGACTTTCAGCTCTGACAGTGAAAAAATGAGCTGAGCCTCTTAGCTGAGGATCCTGGAGAGAACTGGGCAGAACACAGCACCGATTAGGAATCTGAGAAATGGGGTCCAGCATTTTGAATGAATTGGGTCACCAGTTTCTTTTTTTTATATATATAATAGTTTATTTTTACATCATTTTGTGCATTTTCCCATCTCTGTTGCAATCCCCTTGGGCTTCCCATCACCAAATCACCCATGTGCCATGACCATAGTCCAGTGCATTTCCCTCTCCCCACTGTTTTTGATCCCATCCCCCACTCCACCCCCACAAAATGTCTCTGGTATATAGCTGTTCATCATTATCATTATTTTCTTGCATGTTCTGTTATATTCCTGTTAGGAGAGAAACCATCCGTGGGTCACATCTTCTTTAGGAACTTAGTCTCCTATTCTTCTCAGCATCTCAATCTTACATACATCCTCCCAGACTTAGTTCCCCAACTTTTAAGAAATATTCTGGTCCCGTGCCAGTCAGTGCTGTCATAACTCTGGGCCCACTCTAAAAATAAACCTCAAGTCCAACTGCAAAAGGAAGTTAATCTGAGAATCTTGGTTCTGTAATGGACTTGGTTGGATGCTTTCATTTCATGCAAAGCAATGCTGAAGAAATTTAGGCTTTTTCCCTTTTCTCATCTTGGCAGTGATTGTTATGTATAGGGGCCCCTCGAGCCCCCCAGAGGTGTTTGTAGCTATTTATAACGTGACACGATGACATTGGCTTTGGTAAGTGGATCACACAGAAGTTTTAGTTGGATGAAACAGATACTCCAGTCTGAATCTGGCCATGATATCATTTACCTCCTAATTCTCTATGGTCTGCTGCCCAGGGAATTCTATCTGAGCGAGAGTCAAGGCTCTGTGGGAAAGTTCAGTCCCTGAGGACCCCAGCTGGTCAGTTTGGAAATATCTGGACCATAAGATATTGTAAGAGCACTGTGGTTGAGAGAGCTCCAGCACTTATTTTTCTTTGCCCCCAGATAGGATCTTACAAGGTAAGCACTTATTTTTCTTTGCCCCCAGATAGGATCTTACAAGGTATAATGGAAATGGATTTCCCTTTGCCTCCTTGACCTCCTCAGTGTTCTTTTAGGCTGCAGTATAACCCAGGACAGAGCAAGATGCTTAACTTTTTCAGACTCCAGACCCAGATCATCTACAAATGGGTATTCTGAAGATGCTCCTGGGTGGTTTGAAAACCTTTTTTCAGTGATTTTTTTTTAAAGATTTTATTTATTTGTGCATACAGAACTGGGTACAGGCCAAAAGTGCAGGGGTGGTGAGAGGATTCACCAGAGACAGAGTGGGGAGCAGAACAGGCTGACAGACGAAGTACACTGCTGAGGGGAGCAACGGGTGGGCCAGGAGAGGTCTGCCGCACCATGTGGTCATCTCCAGGGCAGGCAGGGATTGAACTCGCTGAAATAGCTTTAGCTTCTTAGTGCTGTGCTTTAACCCGCTGCGCCACCAGGGAGGGCCCTTTTTTCAGTGATTATTAAAGGAAATTTTAAAGTAGAATAGTAGAAATACCAAGAAGATTGGATTGGGTAGGCATTGCAGTTTTTTTTTTTTAAAGATTTATTTATTTGTGCATACAGAACTGGGGTACAGGCCAGAGGCTCAGGGGCGGTGAGAGGCTTCACCAGAGACAGAGTGGGGAGCAGAACAGGCAGATGATCAAAGTACACTGCTGAGGGGAGCAGCGGGCAGGTCAGGAGAGGTCTGCCACACCATGTGGTCACCTCCAGGGCAAGCGGGAATCAAACTCATGTGCAAGTGGCTTTAGCTTCTTAGTGCAGTGCTTTAACCCGCTGCGCCACCAGGGAGGGCCGGCATTGCAGTTTTTGAAAAAGGGAAGTGGGGGCCTCCCTGGTGGCACCAGGGTTTGGGTCTCAGACAATAAAATTGTCCGCAGCCACTGCACCACAAGTTCCATCCCTGGCCAGGAAGCTGACCCACAGGACTCAGCAGACCTCTACTGTCTCACCTGCTGCTTCCTCTCAGCAGTGTATTTCAGTCAATCTGCCTGTTCTGCTCCCCACTGTGTCTCTGGTGAATCCTCTCATCATCCACAACTGTGGCCTGTACCCCAGTTCTTGTATGCATGAATAAATCTTAAAAAAAAAAAGAAAAGGGAAACAACAAATCCTAAAAAATTGTAGGTTTACCTGACATTGTTCCCAGAAATCAGAACTGTGCTGGCATGGGTCATCAGATGTATGATTTATGAGCACCAGGGGAAGGCTACAGAGATGAGTCTTCCTTGGTTCAGCAGAAGCAGGTTGTGTCTATCTAATACAAACCTTCTTCTAATTGTGATGCTCAGTTAATGCCTCAGAGAAACCCATAGAAACATTTTTTAAAAATCCACAAGGATCTTCCATCAAATCATATCTATAAAATACAGAAACTTGGGTTGGGTAGCAATACAATTAGGTGAATGACAAGTTAGCTGAATAATTACCTTAAAGAACTGGATTGATATCATAGTGGTGAGAAGAACATTCTGTTTTTGTCTCTCAATGTTTGGAAGTGAACACTTGCTACCAATTCTGTATAGGACAGAAACTGGAAATGAATACATATCAGCATGACAGCCTGGAAGGGTAAGCTGAGATCAATGAGTCAAGTAACAACTGAGACAAATACCTACATTCTACATTGGATTTAGATTTTTAAACATGAGAGAAAAAAATTGGCCATTCATGAAAAAAATAACTGGGCAGCTAGTTAGACCACAGTGTTATGTGACAAAAATGATATAGAGTCCTGGACCATCCATGTTGAGATTACCTAGGCAACTACACAGGAAAACTAGTTTTGTATAATTTCTGGTAGGCCACACCTCAGTTCAGATTTGGGACCTGAATCTGGTAGGATTCAGGAATGTGGTGAGCCAGAGACCAGAGGGTCCACTAGAGGAGGTGTCTGGTAACATGTTGTACAAAAAAAGAATGAAAGGGGCTTTCAAACTTTTTGATGTTTAAGAATGTTTACTTTTAGCATCTTACTGTAGTAAAAAAAATGCACAAAATAAAATTGGGAAAATTAGTAAACAGTGGAGAAAAAGGCCCATTTTCCACCCCCAACCAAAGCAGTTGTTTATATTTATTTATTTTTAAAGATTTATTTATGCATACAGAACTGGGGTACAGGCCAGAGGTGCAGGGTGGGGGGATGGTTAGAGACATAGTGGGGAGCAGACAGGCAGATATACAGAAATATTTGCTGAGGGGAGCAGCAGATGGGTCAGGGGAGGTCTACTGCACCATGTTGGGTCACCTTCCTGGCTGGGAATGGAACTCATGCTGCTGTGGTTGTGGTAGCGTCATAGTGCTGCACTTTAACCCACTGCACCACTAGGAAGAGCCCCTGAGCGGTTGTTTTTAAATAGAAGAAGGTGAGGCTGGGGAGAGAAAAAGGTAAGTTTGACTGAGGATCGGGGGTCTTGACTTGATCACTGAGGTTCAATTTCCTTATCAAAAAAATGAAGGGCTTGATTACAAGATCCTTCAGGCCACTTCTAAAATGCTAAATGACTTACTAAAAAGACATGGCGGTCATTTTGAAAGGTGAGAAGTTCATCAAAGAGACAGACTGATCAACAACTGAAGATGAAACTAGTTTGTGTATGGGCTGAAAGGTACATGAAAAAAATTTCTAATAATTACAGGTATTCCCACCTACAGAGGGTTACTTATTAAACAGTGAAACTTATCAAACTATGAAGCTATCAAACTTATCAAACTATGTGAAATTGACAATGCCTGTCAATTTCAGCTTGGCCAAAGACAGGATTTCTAAAATTTCCACTCTGTGCCATGGGCTCCAGTCTCTACAATAGTCTCATTAACCTAGACCCCATTTATTTAAAAATCACTGCCTCATAGGGCGATCAAATTAACATCAGAGAGATTCATAGGAGAAAAGAGCAAATTTAATTGCATACACATAGATGAAGATTCTAAAGTCAGTAGGAGAATGAGTGTATATATTCTGGACTAGAAGAGGGGGACTCATATGGTAAAGAACAGATGCTATGTAACTAGATGTTTGTCCTGCCACATAGATAAGTTTCTCTGACAGAAAGCTTATTTCTGCTAAAACCCCTAATTCTGAGTAGCCCTCCGATCTTCATTCTTCTATGTCATCAAGGGGGTTGAAGAAGTTTCCCATGATCCTGCAGGATCTTCTTAGACTTTAGCTCAAAATAATCCACATGTCAAAGTGACAAATTGTGGGAAGGCTATTCTGGATATCTCGGGGATGTACAATCACCAAAGGCTAACTTCAGGTCATAGTGTCAAGACTGAACTGAATGATAGGACACCCAGCTGGGGTCCCAGAATTATTTGATATGTGGACAACCTACACAGAGGATGATGGAAGGTGATGAGTGTGGCAATGATGTGAGGGAGAAACCCACGGGGTGTGGGGTGGGAGCGTTTTCCAGCACAGGGAGAAGGTGGAGGAGCTGGGTTCCCAGCTCAGGTCTGTCTGCTGCAGGGCTCTTGCTCCGAGTGGCTAAGTGACCCCCTTGATCTAATCCAGCCCTCCCCTAGCTCCCTAACTAAGATTCCTCTCTTCCATCTGCTAGAACAGCCAATCACATTTCAGGTTCACTTTAACTGGTAAGAAAGTTCTTTATCCTGAGGTGAATATCCAAGCTGCCAATAAATGCTTAATGAACAAGTCATCACTGTCCTCCTACATTAGAACCACTGTATTATGTATGTGCCTTTCCATTTTAAGAAGCAAAGATCTTACAAGGAAAGGAAGGTGCTAAAGGAAAGCTCCCGAGTCATCGCCCCTTGCAGGGAGAGGCTTTATACAACAGCACTGAGGTCTGAAACAGTGCGTTCCAATGGTAAAGACTGAGTTATGGGGCTGGACATTGGTTTCGGGATCTGCAGCTCCCCTTGGCTGTATTCAGGTTGCTATTTTAACAGCTTGTAAATCTAAATTAATCTTTGAAATATCTTTACTGTGAATTATAGAAAACGGCATTTTTCTGAATTGCCTTTAAAGATTGTCAGGTGGGCGCTCGGAGTTTCTCCCAGGTGGATGGACAAAGCTCTCTTAATGAGTATGTGCTATTAGGAATCCGACTTTCCTTCACTCAGACCCTATACTTTTGTTGTCAGCTTTCAAGAGTATAGGGATGTGAAGTGAGCAATATCTAAACAGTCTCAGAATCTCAGGAGAGATTCAGTTACTATTCCCATTTGTCATACCTACAGGGATTCTCATTTAACTTTGTAACCTTGATCAGAAGCTCAGAGACCTTTTTCTCTACTTTGTTGACTTTTTAATTGAGGTTTCCGGATAACTTGGAGTGCTTGTATTTATTTATTTTCTACTACTGTTACTGTGAAGTGAAGGGGCATAATCCTCAAGACCAACATTTCAATACCAATTACAAGTTTGGAACTTCCCAAGTCCATCCTTAGGTTTGATAATCTTTAGAAGGATTCACAGAACTCACTGTAAGTCAGCATGCTTATGGTATAGTTTATCATGGCAAAATGATATAGATTAAAATCAGCCAAGGGAAGAAGAGCAAAGGGCAGAACTCAGGAGCTTTCCACAGAGTCATGGACCATGTTAATTCCTCCTAGCAAAGCTGTGACATTATACCTGGACTACCACCAACCAGAGAAGTTTGCCCATGTCTTGATGTCCAAAGTCATCAATTGCCCATGTGGCTGACCTCAGTCTCCAGACCTCCTTGAGGCTGAGCTGACCCCGTGACTCAAAGTCCCTACCATCAATCACTTTCAGAGAGTCTGCTGTCATCCATGATCCCCGGGTAAACTAGAGTATTCACTGTACTCTTGTTTGTAGACAGGACATTCCAGTGGTTAGAGATTACTCACCAGCCCATGCTGGTAAGTTGATTTGTCCCTAGGGTTCTTTTTATAGACCTATGTTCTCCTTCTCCCCAGGCTAAGAAAATGAGCAATTCTCTGCCTCTCAAGGCTGTGCTGAAGACAAA